ACCATAATAGTGGATTGGGCTTTTAATTCCCTTATGGGCTGGACCAAGCCCATATAACAATTCCCCCTCTCTAGCCTACTGTGGAAGGAGATTATCTTCTAATAGATTAGTTAATGTCCATGCTGTCCAGCTTGACACAAAACTCAAGCTTTTTTCTGGTCACAATCTTTGTCATCATATCAGTTGGATTCTTTTCGATATGAATCTTCTCTAACAATATCAATTGCTCTGCTACTACTTGTCATAGCCAATGACATCTTACATTAATGTGCTTCATCAAAGAATGATAAGTAGCATTCTTGCTCAAATCTAATGCCACTCTGATTGTCGCAATAAATTACATACCCGTCTTGTTTCAAACCCAAATCTTGGAGAGACCATTTCTTCCAAAGCATTTCTTTTGCAGTTTCAGTTGCTGCAATATATTCAATCTTAGTTATAGATAATGCAACACACTTAAGTGATTTTGACTGCCATGAGACAGTTCTCCCTGCAAAAGTAATCAATATCCTGAAATTGATTTTCTACCATTAAGATCACCATCCATATCTACATTTGTATAACTCTCCAAAATTGGTTTTGAACCTCCAAAAGTCAAGTTCATCTTTGAAGTATCTCTCATATATCTAAAGATCCATTTTACTGCCTTTAAACGATCTTTATCGGGATTAACAAGAAACCTGCTGACCACCCCAACTGCATGAGCAATGTCTGGCTATTACAAACCATAGATATATCAAACTCTTAATCGCTGAGGAATAAAAAATTAATGCCATTCTTTTTTTTTTTTTTTTATCTTCCTTCTCAGAAAGACAAGTCATCTTACTCAATTTGATGTGACTATCATGTAGTGTCCCAACTGGTTTAGCATTTTTCATGTTAAACCTTATCAACACTCTTGTTATATATTTCTTCTGTGATAACCATAACTTTTTAGCTTTCCTATCACGAAAAATATGCATCGCCAAAATTTGCCGTGTCGGTCCAAGATCCTTCATGTCAAATGACTTGAGCAAATCTACTTTTAAACTGCGAATCAACTGAATATCTTTTCCCACTATCAACATATCATCAAATATAGCAAAAGGACGATGAAGTTACCACCATAAAATTCTTTGACATAAACATAATGATCTGCATCTGTCTTGGTATAACTATGACATACCATAAAGGAATCAAACTTCTTATACCACTGTCTTGGAGCCTATTTCAGCTGATACAAACTCTTTTTCAACCTGTAAACCATATTTTCTTTTCCTTTTACTTCAAATCCCTCTAGTAGAACCATGTAGATTTTTTTCCTTCAATCCCCTATGAAGAAATGTGATTTCACATCTAACCGTTCAATCTCAAGATCCAAACTAGCTACTAAACCTAAAACCACTCAAATGGATGACAATAGGAGAGAATTATCTCATCGAAGTCCATCCCTTTCTTCTGATCAAAGCCTTTCACCACCAATTGAACTTTATACTTTACTAGCTTTTTACCATCTTTCTTCAGCTTGAACATCGATTTATTTTTCAATGCCTTTTTATCTTTAGAAAGCTCTGCTAGCTCATAAGTATTATTCTTTAGCAAAGAATTCATCTCTTTCTGCATAGCTTTCACCCAGCTCTTTTTGTCCTTATAAGATTGTACCTCCTAAAAGTAATATGGCTCCTGATAAGTGCAATAAATGCACAAACATCACTAAATTACGAGTAAAATATTTAAATTGTGGCTTAAATTTGTTCAATTGTTGGATTGTAGGGTATAGTGATGGACATGGTGGAATTCACAAGAAAAAGAAGCAAAAAGGACCAAAACAAATCAAAGTGATAGTTCAGGGCCCAAAGTGCAAATATCCAAAAGATGAGCCAAAGGAGCAATCTAAAAATTAATAGTGCCAAGTACTAATTGGAGGTTATTATGAGGTGATGGAACAAAATGGTCGAAGAAAAGAGGTCAATAGACAAGAAGATTTAGTTTGGGGACTAAAACGGCGCAAAGTGAAAATTTGTTATACCATGCAATTGCGACCGCATATAACCTAACAGGGAATTCCAGGACCCAACCCACTTCTACCATGCGGTTGCATGGTGAAAAATTCTACCGCGATTCTGCAGTTTCCTATTTTCACCAATACTCTTCTCGAATTCGATTGGGACGCAATATAAAAACCTAGAGCCATCATATTTCGGGGAAGAACGTATTGGGAGGCAAGAAACCACATCTTGGAGAGGATTTTAAGCGGAATTAACGAGGATTTACACGAAGATCATCAAAATTTCAAGCAATTTCATAACCCGGTGATGTTTTTTCTTCAATTTATCATGTATTCAGTAATTTTCTCCATGATAGGCTAGATTTTTCATGTACTAGGAGATCGATGTACCATATGATGTGATTTCTTTAATTTCTAGTTTTCAATTTGACAATAAACACGTATTGAATGTTTGAATGATTTATATATAATAATTTTTGTCCATAATTAAGTGCACGTAATTATGTGATGTTTGGTGGTTTATTTCATCTGTTCGAGAGAAGAGAAATAAATTAGACACAGTGTAAATCGTTGTAGGGTCCGATAGAGGATAGAGATATACCCTTATGGTTTGCGTGAATCTTTAGATGTTCATAAAACCACATGCATTCTTATATATACATTTGTCATAGAGATATAGGCCAGTTGTGTATAAGAATAGGTTCAATACATCTCAAGAGAGAGTGTTAAATAGATTTACGAGCATTGATTCATCAATAATTCAATCGTGTTGTCATTTTGTGAAATTATGGTTAAGTTTGATCATTGTATGGGAATTCGCGATCCTAGTGCTTTTAATTTTCATTGAATACAACCAATTCACGTTCTAAACACATAATTTGCATTGTAATTCATTAAAATATCATTTTGCATACTGAGTTCATTCCAATCTTCAAGTTTGCATAATTAGGGTTTTACTAAATTAGGGGTTTTCTAAGAATAAATTCCTATTTTGACAAATTTGTTTCGGTTAAGGTTAAAATAGTTAGAATTGAACTACTCAATCTCTGTGGGACGATACTCAAAACTTAACATTCCACTTTATTACTTGCTAACGAACTGTACACTTGCGGAGAATTAAATCAAAAGAAAATATTTCGTGAACAAGTTTTTGGCGTCATTGCTGGGGATTGAGTATTCATTTTTATCTATATTGGCACTAATTCGAACATCCATATTCAAATTTTTTGTTATTTTGTTGTGTGTTGTTTCATTTTATTTAATTTCATTTTTATTTGTTTGTTTAATATTTCATTTTAACATCTCAGGACTCTTTTTGACTCTTCTCACAGATTTGCATGTTAAGGTTCGCTGAAGGAGAATTGATCCCAGCTGATCCAGAAATCGAACGAACTCTACATCGAAGGCAGTGAGAAAATAGAGAGGCATAACAACAAATGGCTAACGTGCAAAATAATCCAATTTTTCGGGCCAATGAAGAAGGGGCAGCGGATGAAGGAAATATACTTGTAGGAGATTTCATGACCCCTCAGATAATTCAAAGCCAGTCAAGCATCGTGTATCCACCGTTTGGACAGCCGAATTTTCAACTGAAAACTAATGTGATACAATTATTTCAAAATGGCCATCAATTCTATGGAAAGATCGAGGAAAATCCACATACGCATGTTTCTCATTTTTTTGGAGATGTGCCAATACTTTAGATATCAAGGAGTCTCAAATGATGCAATCAGATTAAGGTTGTTCCCACACACACTACGTGACAAGCAATTGAATGGCTAGATCTGCAACCAATCGCAAGCATTACCACATGGAATGATCTAGCACAAAAATTCTACACTAAGTTCTTCCCACCTTCTAAGATTGCAAAGCTCAAGCACGACATTTCTGTCTTCCACCAAGGCAACTCGAAGAATTTTGATGAAGCTTGGAACAGGTTCAAGAATATGCTGAGCAAGTGCCCACACCATGGGATTAGCAAGGGATTTCAGGTCCAATACTTCTATGCGGGATTGCTCCTAGCCTTCAAAAGCATGGTTGACTCGTCATCAAATGGATCATTATCCACAAAGACAATTGATGAGGCATTGAAACTTTTTGAGACTATGGCTACGACTTCGGCTATGTGGACATCGAAATGAGCAGTTCAGAAGAAGACACTGGGAGTTTATGAAGTGGACGTTTATTCTACCTTTTCAGAAAAATTGAATTGTTATTTCACAAGGTGAAAAACATGACACAATCAGCTACCGCAGTATAGTTAAAGAAAGCCAGTTGTGAAGAATGTAGAGCTGAACATGTAATAGCAGATTGTCCAATCTTGATACAAGGAGTAGAGCAGACAGAGTTTGCTCAATGGGGACAGCGGCAGCAAAATAACACATATGGGAAAACATTTAATTCGAGTTAGAAAAAGCACCCCAACTTCTCTTGGAGCAATCAAAGTCAGAATATGCCACAGGGTCAACATCAGCAGCTAGAGAAAAATCCTCAATTAGAAGAGATGTTTGGCAAATTCATGGAGAAGACTAATCAATACATGGAAGCAAACAATCAATTCATGAGGAAAATCGAGGCCACTCTTCAAGACCAGAATGTAGCAATCAAAAATTTAGAGACTCAAATGGGACAAATGGCAGTTGTTTTGACTGGCAGAGCACAAGGCAGGTTACCAAGTAACACAGAAATAAGCCGGAAGGAGCATGCTAAGGCAATTACAACTCGAAGTGGAAAATAGCTGCCGTAAATCCACGTAAAAAGGTCAGGTGCACATCAAGAAATAGAATCTCCAATGATAGAAAAACCAAAAGAGCATGATGAGTAGATAGAGGAATTCACCCGACTTGAAAAATCAAGCAAAACACAGGGTAAAGCAACCGTTAACCCTCATGAGCCTCCCATACCATTTCCACAAAGACTAAAGAAGTAGAAGTTGGAGTAACAATACAAGAAATTTCTTTAAGTCTTCAAGAAACTCTACATCAACATCCCACTTGACGATGCACTGTTACAGATGCCTAGCTATGCAAAGTTCTCGAAGGACTTACTATCAAATAAACGCAAGCTAGGGGATCAGGAAACAGTAATGCTAATAGAGGAATGCAACGCCAGAATTCAGAAAAAGCTCCCACCAAAATTGAAAGATCCTGGGAGTTTTATTGTTCCTTACATGATTGGTAAAGTATATTTTGATAAAGCTTTGTGTGATCTTGGTGCAAGTATAAATTTAATGCCTTTATCTATTTTCAGAAAACTTGGCTTGAAAGAGGCTAAGGTAACTACAGCGACACTGCAACTGACAGATGGGTCATTGACACATCCCAGGGGTATAATAGAGGGCGTGTTTATCAAGGTTGAAAAGTTCATATTCCCTGCAGATTTTCTAATCTTGGATATGGAAGAGGACAAGTACATTTCATTGATACTGGACAGACCATTCTTGGCAACAGGATGACCCTTAATCGACGTTCAGAATGGATAGTTGATTTTGAGACTGGGAGAAGAGAAGATCTCGTTTAATGTTTTCAAGGCAATGAAACTACCTACAGAGACAGATAACTGTTTCCAGATCGATGTGCTTGACAAAGTGGTCCAAGACTAGTTCTTGCTACATAACCCCTCAGATACGTATGAAGCTTGCATCGCACATTCGCAGCCAACGCAGTCTGATTCAGTGGAGATAAAAACATGTGCAATATTTTTGGACACCAACCCACCTTATACACGTAGAAGGCATTTTGAGGAGCTTGGAACAGGACCCACAAAACCTCTACCATCCATTCAGTAGCCACTGAAATTAGAACTCAAGCAGCTACCACCTCTTCTCAGATATGCATACTTGGGGGAGTCGTGTACACTTCCAGTGATCATCTCGAACACAGTCAGCAAAGTGGAAGAGAAGAAACTGCTTAGAGTACTCAGGGAAAATAAAACAGCAATTGGAGGGACCATAGCAGTTATCAAAGGGATTAGTCCTTCACTGTGCATGCATAAGATTCTCATGGAAGAGAATTTTCGGCCAACCATTGAGAGTCAACGAAGGTTGAACCCAAGTATGAAGGAAGTGGTTAGATCAGAGGTTCTCAAACTTCTAGATGTTGGAATCATCTATCCAATATCAGATAGTGCATGGACTAGCCTAGTTCAAGTGGTACCAAAGAAAGGAGGAATAACGGTAGTGCCTAATGAGAAGAATGAGCTGATACCGATCAGAATAGTCACAGGATGGAGGGTTTGCATCGATTATCGCAAACTCAATGCAGCAATAAGAAAAGATCACCTCCTTCTCCCGTTTATAGACCAAATGCTGGAGAGATTGGCAGGCCACTCACATTAATGCTTCCTTGACGGGTATTCAGGTTATAATTAGATACCAGTGGCTCCAGACGATTAAGAGAAAAAACCTTCACTTGCCCTTACGGTACTTTCGCATACCGCAGGATGCCTTTGGCCTTTGCAACATCCTTGTCACATTTCAATATTGTATGATGGTGATTTTCTCAGACATGGTAGAAAAATTTATGGATGACTTCTCGGTCTTCAAGTCTTCATTTGACAAGTGTTTGGAACACTTGAATTTGGTATTATTAAGAAGCAGGGAAACCAATTTAGTAGTGAACTGGGAAAAATGTCATTTCATGGTGCAAGAAGGGATCGTACTTGGGCATCGGGTCTCAGCAAAAGGAATTGAGGTGGACAAAGCAAAGATTCAGGTTATTGAAAAGTTATCGACACCAACATCCGTTAAAGGGGTTCACAGCTTCTTGGGACATGTCAATTCTACAGGAGATTCATAAAAGATTTTTTCAAAAATTACCAAACCTCTCTGCAACCTGTTAGTGAAAGACGTGCCCTTTGAATTTAATGAGGAATATCTGACTGCTTTCAACACTTTGAAGGAGAAACTTACGTCAGCGCTGGTAATTTTATCACCTGATTGGGAGTTACCTTTTTAGTTAATGTGTGATGCCAGTGATCATGCCGTAGGAGCAGTATTAGGACAATGAAAGAACAAGATCTTCCATGTAATATAATACGCAAGCTGAACATTGAATGATGCCCAGATCAACTACGCGACCACTGAGAAGGAACTCTTGGCGGTGGTCTATGCCTTTGACAAATTCTGATCATATCTCATGGGATCTAAGGTCATAGTCTACATAGATCACGCTGTATTGAAGTATCTAATGACAAAGAAGGATGCTAAGCCGAGATTAATCCGTTGGGTATTACTACTACAAGAATTCGACATTGAAATTAGGGACAAGAAGGGTAGTAAAAATGTGGTGGCAGATCACCTATCGTGATTAGAACAAAAAGAACCAGAAGCATCAGTGGAAATCAATGAAAATTTTCCAGATGAGCAGATGTTCAGTGCAGAAGAAGCCCCATGGTATGCAGATATCATCAATTATTTGGCTAGGTCAATCCCACCACCAGAATACTTGAGTCGCCAGAAGAAGAGTTCTTTACCGAGCTGAAATATTATTTTTGGGAAGATTATATTCTTTATAGGCGAGGGGCTGATCAAATTATGAGAATGTGTATACTTGAAGATGAAGTACTTGAAATTCTTGAGCATTGTCATTCATCTGCATATGCGGGGCACCTTAGAGCTTCAAAGACTGCTGCTAAGATCTTACAATCAGGATTCTATTGGCCTACATTATTCAGAGACGCCTTTGAGTTTGTTAAGAGGTGTGATAGATGTCAACGCACTAGTAATATCTCAAAAAGGAATGAGATGCCACTAAACAGCATATTGGAGGTCGAGATATTTGACTTATGGAGAATCAACTTTATGGGACCATTTTCCCTATCGTCTGCAAATCAGTATATCTTGGTCATGGTTGATTATGTATCAGAATGGGTGGAAGCAGTTGCATTGCCAATGAATGATGCGAAAGTGGCAATTAGGTTCTTTAAGAAATACATCTTTACTAGATATACCACACCGCAGGCAATAATCAGCGACGAGGGCAAACACTTCTGCAATCGCCAATTCGAGCAATTATTGAGTAAATATGGGGTTAAACACCATGTAGTAACCCCATATCATCCACAAACCTCAACGCAAGTTGAAGTATCCAATCGGCAGCAGAAAAGAATATTAGAGGTTACATTGAATTCCTCCCAAAAGGACTGGTCTAAAAAGTTGGACGATGCATTGTGGGCATAAAAGACATCATTCAAGACACTGATAGGCATGTCTCAATTTCGCCTAATTTTTGGAAAAGCATGCCACCTTCCACTGGAGATAGAACACTAGGCATACTGGGCTATGAAACAGTTGAATATGAATTTGAAAGCCGTCAGTGAAAAACTTTTATTACAACTCAATGAGTTAGATGAATTCAGAATGGAAGCGTATGAAAACTCCAAGCTTATCAAAAAACGCACCAAAAATTGGCATGATCTACATATTCAGAGGTGAGAGTTTGAAGTGGGGCAGAAATTCCTATTATATAACTTGAGGCTCAAGCTTTTCCCTAAAAAATTAAGATCAAGGTGGTTGGGCCCTTACACTATCATTAAATTTCTGCCATATAGAGCTATACAGGTCAACCATGAAACGAAAGGAATGTTCACAGTTAATGGGCAAAGGCTGAAACACTACTGGGACGGGGACTTTTCCAAGCAAAAGTTCACCGTTCAACTCAGAATAATTAATTGAAGCAGAAGTGGAGGAGTCGAACTATCGACTATAAACTAGCGCTGAGTGGGAGGCAACCCACTGTATCCCTTAATTTGTTCAATTTTCATTTGTATTAGCTTAGAAAATTTTAATTTCATGTTTGCATTAGGTCATTGATCATCCATGCATGTCAATAGACTTTAAACTCCGTTCACACGAATTCCTAGGCATGGAGCACATGTTCGGTAAGCTTGAAGTGGTTTGGGGTGATTGGGGATATAATTCACACATCTCAAGACAAAATGACATTTTCAAAAATTTAAAGGGCCAATGTGTGATTGAGAGTTCAAAATTTGGTTGAGGTCGTATTTTTGGGGGGAAATCAAATTTTTTTACTTTATTTTGTTTTGTTTTATTTTATTTATTAAAAAAAAAGTTGTCTATGCGGTTGCATAGACAAAGTGTCCACGCGACCGCATGGATACCTACCAAAAATAAGGAGGGTTTGTACTCAACCATGCGACCGCATGGATTGCCAGTTACAGATTTATAACCCGTAACTTGGCCATTCAATTCCCATCTCCCTCTCTATTCATCTCTTGCGCCCAACACACACAGGCATCGACACCTCTCCCAAACCCTCAATCCATGAAAACAACACAAAATCACACACAAATCTTTGTTTTATCACACATTGAAGTGAGTAGAGACTTCCAATCCTACAATTCTACTAAAGGTTCCAAGGTAAGTAGCCTACACACTACTTTACAAATTTCAAATTTGGGGATTTGGCTTGTCTTAATTTTTAGTAATTGGTGAAGATTGGGTGTTATGTTATGTTTGTGATTAAGATGTGAATGTGGGAGCTAATTGATAACGCATCAGTACCAAAGTAGGAAAAATTTCATAATGCACACAATGTGTTCGATTAAATGCTGAAGATATGAGCTTTATGCAGTTTTGAAAATTTTGCTTTTGTCATGCATTACAAATGATATGAATAGCAATTAGGTAATGAGAATTCACATGAAGGGCCATGAAAAATAGAACACCCAATACCACAACACATAGGCACAAGAATGGTTAAGTCATGGCACCTCACGTCTCCTACTTTGTACCATATTTTGACAACCCAAACGATCTTCAGATTAATTAAAATTTGAATATGTGGTAGACTGCATTGAATACTTCCATATGCCCAAAAATTGCTCGAGAAAATTTTGATATTTCTCAATGATGCCCGGGGTCAAACGTGCGTACTCAGTCAGGTGTCCAATTTTTATAATGTGTATGTTTAGGCCTAATTTTCTTAGTTTTTCCTGTTGGCACAATATTTATACTATCTTGAACATCATATCTTGAATATTGCACACCAAGGTGTTATACATGCATCTAGGAGTAAGGTTGGGAATTCGTGCATCTAAAGTCTAAGGTTGGGAATTCGTGCATCTAAAGTCGACTTTCGTATTTTTGACATGCCTTTTTCTTTCCATTCTATGGTTTTGACAATAAATTTGATTTTTTTGTAGGATGCCGCTTAAAAGAACTTCGAAGGGCAAAGAAAAAGTCGGTTCATCCTCCGAAACTACATGAACTAGGAACTCGAAGGGAAATTACAGAGGTTCTTTAGTGCAGAAACCATTGCCCGGTATGAGAACATCATACGCCACTGGACAATGAACCTTGAAAGACCAGTTAAACTTGAAGATTTCTCGAGGTTTGAATTGGTGAATTTGGTCCAGATTTGTGGGTGGGAAAAAGTGGTAGAGAGACCTCATCCAGTTTATGAGAATCTAATTCGAGAGTTCTATGCAAATTTCAACAGTGAAATCGATGCCCTAAGTTCAGAGCATATACATCAGACATGGGTGTGAGAGAAATGGATTGTGTTCTCCCCGGATATCATCCACGATTATTATCAGCTCAACATGGAAAATGTGGTTCCCATCCCTACTGAATTCAACTGGACTGAAGTAGCTGAGATTTTGTTGGGATGGGAAAGTGCATGGCCCCTAGCAATTGCTGAGCGGCATCAGATAGAGTTCACACCATCCATAGCCAATTTATAGCTCTTCATGTGCCAAAACATCGAGCCCATATCACACAGAACCACATTTTCTGATCAAACAGCAGGCTTCATTTACCATCTGGTTCGGGGTTGCAAAATAGACCTCGCCATCCTTATCTACAATCAAATCCAAAATTTGGGCACTTGGCAGGATCGGCGTACCACTTTAGTCTTTCCCAGCCTCATTATTAGTATATGTCGGGCTGCAGGTGTTACAATCTTACCAGAGGAGGTACTTGAAAACCCTGCCCTCTAATAAAGCATACTACATTTTAGGCTCAGGAGTGAGCTCGGTTAAGACATCGAGGAGAACAAGAGAGAGAGCGACGAAGACAGCAACAGGCCGTATAGGGCTAGGGACCCGATGATGCTGAAATGCCCTAGGCGGCACCACCACCGATGGCAACTGACACACAGTTACTGTATCAGATGTTTACGACTCTCACAAGGGCTAGCCGCGATATAGAGGGCATCCAGCAAGCCCTAGGGTCTTTGACTACTGACATGCAGATAGCCAGATGTGATATCAGTACCACTCAAACTATGGCATAGGCTGCATATTAGGAGGCACGATTAGTTAGGCGGGAGATGGAAACTATGAACGAGCGGCTGAGCATATATGTGGATGAGTGGATGGAATACAGATAAGAATGAACGACACTTGGGATTGAGTGTGTAACATGGAGGGCGAAGTTAGAGCACAGAGTAGCATGATGAGAGCCATGCAAGTAGAGCAAGTCTAGCAGTCGGATCTATTGAGGCAGATCTTGGCTTATTTCTCAACATCTACTGGGCGACGACACCGCAGGACCCAACTACCAGGCACTACCACCACAGTGATCAGGGGAGTTTTATTTAACTCATTTTGCTATTTTTAATGCACACTTGTCCTTCAAATTATGCCTTTTGAAACTTTTATTTTTCACATTGAGGGCAATGTATTGTATAAGTTTGGGAGGTGGCGGTATATTTTGAACGTGACACATTTTGGAAACAAAATTATCAGTATGTAATGTAATCCTTTTGAAACGATCACATTCCATCAATACCTTGTTACTGATTACATGTTGTGTACCTGATACGTGATTATTGGATTATGTATTAAGTTCATTGCATGCCTGTGTAGGTTTGATAGCCTTGCTGGCAATGATGTGATTATTGTAATAGGTATGTATGGAAACTATGAATATAGTGCAGAATTTGATTAACTGATACTTGTTGAGGTAGTACTTGACATTCCATATGCATGCCACTCATACCATACATGTCAGGTGAGTGATTGGGTTTGAATAAAGCAGGAGAAACCAGAATAACCTCGATTGATTAAACCGTAAATTAATGTAGACCCATAAACCAAAGTGCCTTGATGAATAAATTGGAGACGGTTTAACAACTATAGGGGAACATTGAGATAAGTGGAGGTT